CCTGCTTCAGCCCCTGCGCTAAGTTTAGCGCATCAAACAGTGCACTAGCACTGACCATGCCGTGCCGGTAGAGTTCCGGTAGGCCGATCCCACTACTGAGGCGGATACCGGTACTTATACCGGTGGGCAATGGTCTGGCCTCAATGCTGCGAGGCCAGGCCAGACCCTGAACCGTCCAGATGGACGGTTCAGCCTCAATCGGCGGGGGGCAGCTTCAAGAGCGCCGCCAGGCCCAAACGAAGTGTCGTTTGGGCCTACCCGATGGGTGATAGTCCAAAATCAGGCCTTTAGGGCCTGTAAACCCCAAAGGTCGTACCTTTAGGCCCTGGTGTGTCCCTCCAGCCCTAAGTCGGGTCCGGTAGAACCCGTGTGAGTCGAAGATGTAACAGGGACTGAAGCCTTTGACTCATTGCCGAACAGACATGACTTTTCATCGAGGAGACATGACCCTAACTCAGTCTTGAAAATTGTGTCCAATACCTGTTTGTTCAGGAGTCCGACCTGTTTGTGACCTTTCAAAATGACTTTTCACTTCATTCTGGATGCAACATATGCCCCAGGGAACTTGTCTTTTGGGTTGGTGCTCGTGAATTTAATTCTGGCCGACAGGGCCCCTTGCTGCTGGGCATTCATCTGGGGTCTAATTCGTAAATGCCCTTATAGTAGAGCTTGTCTGGCACCATAAAGAGGACAGTCAGGCGTGGAGACAGGAAGGAGGAGCCAACCATTGCACAAGGGTTGGGAAGAAGGTGTGGGAAGAAGAATCCAAGAGCAGGGAAACCTGCGTTCATCATCCAGTACTTCATCCTGTTGTCGCTTGTGCTATACAGAGATTCTGGCACTTGTGCTACTGAGGTCACTGACAGGTGATGAGGGCAAGGTCACCATCGCTTCAGGGAGGCAACATGGTAGTGATTTAAGGGGGGAGAATGACTCCATGCTGCCGCAGAAGATTGACATTGTCATTTCCAGTTCTGGCTTCATTGTGCTAGCCTGGGATATCAAGAGTTGTAGAGAGGTTGACTTGGCAAGAGACAATTGTGTCCATTCAGACGGGTGGTGATGGAGTCACGCGATACACGCTATTTGGTGCACCGAGGTGGTGAGAAGGACTCCCATGGTGAGGAGGAAGAGGGAGAAGCAGTTTAAATATCGTATTCATTTTTTATACTCTCAAGACAATGCCAGCAGGTGAAGCTGCCCACCAATAGACTGGGGCCAGGCACAAGAGGAACATACTAGTGGGGGCTGCTCATACCCCCCCCCCCCTAGTAGATCCAGGTGACATAAGAAAAGGAAAGAAAAGGAAAGAAAAAGGACAACTCCACAATGTTGATCTTCTTCTTCTTCACTGCGCCTTCTCTGTCTTCTCTGTCTCTCTTTTTTTTTTTTTTTTTTT